CGTTAATTATTTTAATTGTGTGCAAATTGAACAAGGGAGGAAAGAAAAAAAAAAGTTTGGTTGTTCTTTTTCATGTCAAACAAAGGTGTTCTCCGGAACATGGAGACAAAACATATTCTTAATCCATTCCTAAGATAATTCCCCTTAAAACAGGTCTGCTTTACAAGTTCCAGCCTTATTAAAAAATAATTAGGGACACCCCTATGCACAGCAATGCGTGGAAATGGCGAGGCAGGAGAAGTGCTCCTTTCTGAGGGTGTTTAACGTGGTTCAGTTTGTTGCTGTTTCTCTTGATTTCCCCCAAACGGTGGTGGTAATATGGAATTAAATTCTTCAATTGAATCCGAGTGCCCATTTTTTGATCTGGGAGCTCCACTGTACTGAATTTGGACTGCTGAGATTGCTTGGAAATTAATGCCTTTTAACGATTTCCAGGTAGGAAAAACTAGAAATAATTTGTAATTCAATTAGGGATTAATAATTTGTCAGCAAGTTTCGTCAATTAGGTTCAGAGCTGGGGTAATTTAACCAATTTTAACGTTCTAGGGAAGGAGGAATGTATTTAACAGTTTGCAGTCTGAAGTTAAAGAAATCCTCCTCGTTTCCCCTTCTCCAAGCAGGAGCAAGGGCAAGAAATTGCAATTTAGCCATAAGTTCTGCAGCCTCAAGTTTAGAAACCACTGAAGATGGAGTTTGTCTTGCCTGGATGCCCTTTAAGTGTTGGAGTTTTTTGGAATTTGGAAGAAAAGAATAAATTTGGTAGCAGTGAAACAGAGCTGCCACATCAGTGGCGATTCCAAGGGCTGAGTTTTTTTCCTTCTCTGGTTCAAGCTGTGTTTCTGTCTGTGCCTTTTAGGTTAAAAAACAAGCAAACAAAGCTCAGAGATACGGATAAGAGAAGTGGGGTTAAAGTACTTGCTTTGAAAATTGAGACCTTTCAGAATTGAAAATAAATAAAAAAAGAAAAAAAGAAAAAAAGGAGAGGATTTCTGCCCCCTCCTCTTCCAGCCTGAGCTCCCAGAAATGTTTTCCAGAGTCAGCAATGGGTTTGGGGGAGGGTTTGGGGTTGGCTCATGGCTCTGCAGTTTAGGGGATATAGATGGGGTAGGAGGAACTGCCTGCAGCCCTTCCACAGCAAATGCCTTGTTTCCAAATGTGCTGAATTTAGCAAGTTGGGGATGTTTGCCTGCTACTTCAAGGTGGCTAGGAAGGGTTTTTTTTTTTTGTTCCTAACGATGCTGGTTTGGTAGAGCTCTGGTTTGGAGGTGGGGATGTACCTGTATGGCATGGGGAGAAATGGGAGCCTGAAGTGTAGCAAAGCACTGGGGGGAAAACCAGAGCTTCTCCCCAAAATGAGGAAGAGATGAGAGATGAGCAGGAGAAAAAGAAGCTGTGGACCTGAGTTTGTGGTTGTCTTTTGAGGAAATGCATTTTGGAGGAGTTGCAGAAGGTTTTTAGGGGTTTTGGTTCAGCAGAGAAAGAAAAAAATAATCAAATGTTGCAGGTGAAAACTCTCATTTTCAGCATACCTGGAGGCACTGATAGCTTCAAGTGAAGGTGTGGGTTCCTGAGT